TTGTGGACCTGTGGTACTGGACCTGTGGTTCTGGACCTGTGGTACTGGACCTGTGGTACTGGACCTGTGGTTCTGGACCTGTGGTACTGGACCTGTGGTTCTGGACCTGTGATTCTGGACCTGTGGACACAGGAAGTACCTCGGTGATGTCACAGTCTACTTCCTGTTTGCAGCGGGAGCAGGAGAACGCCGCGGCGCGCCTCAAGAGGCAGGAGGCGGAGCTGGAGGCCATGAAGCTGCGTTACCTAGCAACAGAGGAGAAGGAGGCGGTCCGACAGGACCGTCAGGAGCTGGACGACATCAGGAACCAGCTGAACAGGTAAGAAGCAGAACTTGACATCATTTATCTCTTTGATCTGGAGTTTTAAAGACTTCACAGCTTTTATTTCACCTTCAGGTTAAAAAAACAGGAGGACAGATTAGGCCCCGCCCCCTCTGACCCCGCCCCCAGCTCCAACCTTAACGAGAGCTCAGAGGAACACCTGAGCCGTCTGCTGGAGGAGAGAGACACACTCCTGAGGACCGGAGTGTACACACATGAAGACCGCATCATCAGAGAGCTCAACACACAGATACAGGAAGTCCTGAGGGACAGGAACCTCTGACAGCCAATCAGAGAGCAGCTGACCTCTGACAGCCAATCAGAGAGCAGCTGACCTCAGAGAGCAGCTGACCTGTGACAGCCAATCAGAGAGCAGCTGACCTGTGACAGCCAATCAGAGNAGTTCTGATCAGTCAGTGTCTTACCTGCAGCAGTTCTGATCAGTCAGTATCTTACCTGCAGCAGGCTGTAATGAACAGGAATAAAACTTGAATGTGTTTCACTCTGTGATCTTGTGTCTGTTAGTAAAATATTCAGTGGACAGATTAGAGTTCAGCTGAACTGAAGGATTAAAGCTTTTATTTTGACACAGTGACTTCCTGTTAGCATCATTAGCCCTGAAGCTAACAGTTTCTTTCTGTTCTGGTTCTGGTTGGTTAATCTTCTCTGTCAGAGCTTCCCTCTGGTTCCTGAGTGTGAGCCGGGCCTGGTATCAGCTGGTCCTCTGATTGTTCCAGAACCGGGCCCAGGTTGTGCTTGGCAGGCAGCAGCAGAGGAAATGTTGGTTCTGTTTGTTTTTCTTCTAATTATCCTGAGAACACATGCTTAATGGTCCACAGAGACCGGGCCTGAGTCAACAGAACCACTGCTGCTCAGCGTGTGAAAATGTTAGTTCTCCCATCTGGACCGGGTCGGCTGTGGTTCTGCTGTGGATCAACAGGTTCCTGATAGGAGCAGCTGAGGTTCTGTTCAAGAGGTTCTGATGGTTCTGTTTACAGATTAATGTCTTTAATGTTCAGTTAGTCTGAATAAAAATAATCATTAGAATAGAAAAGAATAGAAACAGTCTTTATTGTTCCTGAAACATCCTGTGAGTCCAGACCTCCGGTTCTGGACCTGTGGTACTGGACCTGTGGTACTGGACCTGTGGTTGTGGACCTGTGGTTCTGGACCTGTGGTACTGGACCTGTGGTACTGGACCTGTGGTTCTGGACCTGTGGTACTGGACCTGTGGTTGTGGACCTGTGGTTGTGGACCTGTGGTACTGGACCTGTGGTACTGGACCTGTGGTTGTGGACCTGTGGTACTGGACCTGTGGGTCTGGACCTGTGGTTCTGGACCTGTGGTTCTGGACCTGTGGTACTGGACCTGTGGTTCTGGACCAGTGGTTCTGGACCTGTGGTTGTGGACCTGTGGTTGTGGACCTGTGGTACTGGACCTGTGGTTCTGGACCTGTGGTTCTGGACCTGTGGTTCTGGACCTGTGGTTCTGGACCTGTGGTACTGGACCTGTGGTTGTGGACCTGTGGTTGTGGACCTGTGGTTGTGGACCTGTGGTTGTGGACCTGTGGTACTGGACCTGTGGTTCTGGACCTGTGGTTGTGGACCTGTGGTACTGGACCTGTGGTTCTGGACCTGTGGTACTGGACCTGTGGTACTGGACCTGTGGTACTG